ATATATATTTATATAAATAAAACAGACAGGTGATGCAAATCTTCTAAGACGCTGCTTGTAGCCACATCAAAGGGACCTAAGAGCCATGCCACAGTTCCGCTGATTTTGGTCTTCTGCTTTTAAATGGGAAGTAATACAGCCATTCTATATCTGCAGACTGTCTTATGCCACTTGTAGGGTACATGAAATGCTATTTAATATTTTATAGAATTGCTGTCATTCATACAAGACATTCTTTTTCTCTTTCCAGTAAAACCATGCAGGTGAAGATTGTTGACGATGAGGAATATGAGAAACAAGAGAATTTCTTTGTGGTCTTGGAGCAGCCCCGATGGATGAAACGTGGGATTTCAGGTACCTCAGGAATGGTCAGACCTGTTGCCGATGGGATCCAGCTAAAACTTCTTCTTTTTAGTTCTGAACAGAATGGGAAATATTTCATGCCTACCAGATTTTTATTGCTGTCTGTGTAGCTGTTGGGGAAGCTTCCATTTACTTTCTGTCTGGTGACTACACCATTGACGCACATTCTTGTCTTTCCGCAGTCTAGAAAATAAGGCTGGCCATACACCTTACACTGCGGTGCTGAACGTAAAAAGCACTCAATGTCCATGCTAAAGAGCGTGGAAGGAGGAATCGCCCTGCCGGCAGGGCACCTGTGGCTGTCAGATTACCTGAACAGTGGCCGCAATTTTCCACCCAGTTCTTTCAACACCCAAGCTGAATGGTGCCAGCAGGGCCACCCATGGTTTGAAGTTTGGCCAAAATGCCCAAAATCTGATCAATGCTTAAAGGGAAATACCCCCAGTAGAGAGACAGGCAGCAATACAACTTGAGTGTGTGTCTAACTATTTCCCAATCTGTTCAAACTCTAAAAAAAGGTTTTGGTTAGCCTTTCACTTTATTAGAGGATCAGTTCACTTTAAACTGATATTTGAGGTATTGCAGGACTTTGGAGGTCTAAGGGCCTGATAGATTTCCCTGCCATATTCCCTCACTATATTTCTGCCGAGCTTTGAGTCTTACTTCTTCTACTGCAACAGAAGTGTTAGCACACCTCTTGCTGCAAATTCTCTACCAGAAGTAGGCAACCTCAGCACTCCAGTTGTGGTGAAACTACAAATCCCATGAGGCATTGCAAAACTCTGACAACCACAAACATGACTCCAAGAGGGATGACGGTATTTGTAGTTTAGCCACAGTTGCCTACCCCTGCTCTTCACTATATAATAACTAGACATGTGCGATTCGTTTCGTTCCGAATCGAAATTCGGAGATTCGGATGTATCCGAATTCCGAATTACAGGTATAACGAATGCATACGAATCCGAATTTCCGTTTTTGTAATTTCCAATTTGTTTTTTTTGGACGAACTTTCGTTGCAGGAAAGTGACATTTGAGAACAAAAATACTTTTTTCCCCTCTTAAATGTCACTTTGCTGCAGCGAAGGAACGAAAACAAAACAAATTAGAAACGAAATTTCGTACGGATTTCCGCTAACGAATTTCGTCAGAATCCGAATTCCGAAACGAATTGACTTTCGGACCCGAATTCCGAAAACGAAATAACGCAAAATCCGAATCAAAACGAAACAAAACTAAACACATTTTTTGCTGGTGCACATGTCTAATAATAACATCTGTCACTGCAAGATGGCAGACTGTGGAACTCCAGCACAGAGATCTCACCACCAAAGTAACGTAAGCTGGTCATATATGTTGCAATCTGTACAATCTCCTTAAAGAAGAACTCTGGGGAAATGTTATCATTGACCCTGGCAATGGGGCTACCTCCCACACTATAAGGGTTAAGTGCTCGTTTTAGGCTAGGTGCTAAAAAAAAAAAAAGTTATACCCCTCCTTTTCTCGGAGTCGGGTCACTGTTAGATCAGCCCCTGGAGCCTCGCTCTCCCCTTCCCTGCAGCAGTTTAAGGTCCATGAGTCATCACGTTCTATATACTGTATTTGCGGGGCCCCGGTGTTCGAACACCGGGACCCTGCACTGCCCCATATTGCAGGACCGGACCGCACTGAGACTGTGTGGCCCGGTACCATTTGATCCGCGGACCGTTAGCGGTCCGCGGACCGGGGGTTGGGGACCACTGCTGTATAGGATGTATAGGATGCCTTTTGACATTCCATTGCTGCGGGGAAGAGGAGAGAGGCTGGAGGGCGCACTGTCACGGTCGACCGGCTCTGAGGAGCAGGTGAGTATAACTTTTTTTAATTTTCCTCCCTATACCAAAAGGAACATTGCAGTGCATGGCTAGCTCCACTGCAAAGGTTAGATTGATTTTCCCAGAGTTACTGACATTTTGTAATGTCAGGACCTACAGTCCATTCAATCTGTAGCCAATCAGGCAGGCCCTAAGAATACAGAGCTGCTTTTTTACTTAAAAGAGAACTATGGGGTAAGTGTTTTTTCCCCATAGTGCTCTTAATGGTCACAGGAGGACATATACTAACCTCCTCCCGTGACACAAAGCCCAGTATATATACTGAGACTGCCACAGCCGGGAAGGATCCTGACATTGCTGTCCAGATCCACCCAGCTGCGTGAGTGACAGCTGGCTCTGCCTATCTAGAGGCAGAGCCAGCTGTCCCCGCCCCCTCCCCCGTCCGATCCGCCAGTCAGCGTTGGAGGATCGGAGCGGGGAAATCCCTGCAGGGAGCCATGACTGACAGTCACCACTCTCTGCAGGGAGATGAACGAGAAGAGAGCGAGCGACGGTATGTGCTCGCTCACTTCCTGATCTATTGAGCCGACCTGTGACAATTTCATTGTCACACTTCGGCTCGAACTATGAGGATGAGTGATTTTTCACTCACCTCATAGTTGTCCTTTAAAGGAGATTGTACAATCATATTGTAATGTGTATGGACAGTCATACACATTACTATACTATACTATATACTATACTATAAACCCATCTCAGTTTTCTGTGGACTGACTCTTAAAGTCTATGGCTGACTCTAAAAAGTATTTTTCACTTTTATTACATGTAATAGATTTGATGTGCATCCTTATTTTTCAGATTACATTTAATTATGCTTCCTTCCACCTTTGCATGCTTCTTCACTTGCTGTGCCTTTCTGGCCCCACCTACTTTTTCTGTTTGTGCTCATGTGACAGCTATTGCTGCACACATGCGGGTGCCTGTGTAATGAAATGGCTGCTGGAGTTCACACTCACTTGATAGCACTGCCAGCAATGGACGATGCACTACGTAGCAATGGACGATGCACTACGTAGCAATGGACGATGCACTACGTAGCAATGGAGCACCGCACTGTATGCAGGGAGGTCTGTAGACCTGTGTTAGTAACAAGCATCCTTTCTAGGCAAACACATAATACCGGACCCAGAGAAAAGTGCAAATACAAAATGATATAAAATGAAATGATAAATTATTGAAAATATTAAATATCAAATTAAATGATACATTATTTAAAAAAACAGAATTATATCAAATTAAATGATAAATTAATTAAAAATACAAAATGATTAAAAATCATAAACATTTTAGCAAACAGAAAATTAGGGTTACCCTTTATTATCAGAGAACTCTTAACAACTGAATGTTTTAGAACTTTTCTGTCTGGCTTTATCATCTATATCTGGAGTAGCCAAACTTCGCTCTCCAGCTGTTGAGGAACTACAAGTCCCATGAGGCATTCTGACAGCCACATGCATGACATGCAGAGGTAGATGCATGATGGGATTTGCAGTTTTACCACAGCTGGAAGGCCACAGCTTGCCTACCCCGATCTATGTAATAAATTGTTATGACACAAGCTTTTGGGAATTTGCCCTGCTGTTGGTTTCTCATTATTTCATAGGGACTTTGTACAGTTACTAGTATTATATTACAATGATACGTTTATACATAATAGTGCTGCACAATAACTGTAGTTTGTTGATCTTCTTATCTCTCTGCAAGTCTACCAGACAGGGCCGGTCTGACTGAAACAATAAGGTATAAGCAGACAGGGCCAAAACTAGGGGGGAGCAGAGGGGGAGATGTGCTCTTTGAGCCCCGGGCACCACACGGTGGGAGCGCCTGGGGTAGGCTGATCACTCTGGCACTGCCCTGGGCCTCTATCCCTAGCTCGGGCAGAACTAACAGGGTGGCATCGACCACATTTTTTTCTGGGAGTTCTGCTTTAAATATGCAATTGAATGTGTTTAATTTTATATGTTCAATAAGTGCAAACACAAATCCTATTGATCTTGTCAGAAATGAAGAGCTGCCCTGCGTCCTCTCCACACTTCCTATGTTATCCCGCAGAGCCTGACTAGCCCTCAACAACAGGAGCTGATTGCATTTCTGGCTCACCAACACATATTCTTCTGTATTTGCAGGGTATTGCAGTAATAAAACATGAGGACATGTGCATGTATTGCAGAGATGTACTACAACGTACATAAAGTATGTGTTTTATTTATTTTGCCCTTTTATATACCTTAAAGGAGAACTCTGGGCAAATTACACATTCCCCCTTGCAGTGGGGCAACCTCCTTGCACTGTAATGGTTAACTGGTCTGGGGTCTACAATAAAGAAGATATACTCACCCGATCGTCACAATCCTGCCTGACTGTTAGACCAGTCCCCACATCCTCTTCTTCTCCGGGCTCCAGTTGTCTAAGCCCCGCTGGCTGTCTATTGGCTTGCATTGGACTGAGGACACCGAGGGAATATATCACAGCTGGAGAGGAGGGGAAGAGAGGTGAGCGATCTCCATTGTAGGATCGACGATAGGGTGAGTACTTCTTTTTTTTATTTTACACCCTAGACCAAAACGAGCAGTTAACCCTTGCATGTGTTACGTTTCAGGCTTAGGTTAAGGTTTAAAGTAAACCTGTCATAAGAGAAATAAGGAGGCTGACATTGCTTATTCTCCTTTCTCCTATGCTTGTTGCCTGGCTGTGATGCCGATCTACTGGCTTCAATACCTTGCTGGTCACTGACCTGGACAAGGCTCCCACATCAGGAAAGTCTGATGCCTTCTCTACATACATGTTCTGTATTTTACTCTAGAATCCAAAATAGAAGAGGGTAAGAAAGTGCTGAAGCTTTTGGATCAATATGACAGCCAGGCAACTAGTATATTCAGAAGCCGTGGTCATCATTGTCAACCTCCATGCTTTTCCTTGTGAGAGATTTCCTATACGTTCCAGTGTGAGTGGTTAGGTTCAGTGTCAAGAGGTTAACTTAATTTCAACAACATCTCAGTGCTGCTGAAGTGAAATAGATCCTAAATGACCCACAATTAACACTTTCTTGCTTTGGAATAAAGGAAGATGATCACAGTCCCTAAGACTAGTCTCTTCAATCAGGAATTCTGTGGCAGCCTTTGTTAATGGTTTAAACAGCTCAGATCATCTCCAGTGGACGGGAAGCATTGATTTCCGTGGTTACTCTGTTGCTCAGCAACCTGCAGACGATGACACTTTTGCCTAGCAACAGGCATCCTTTCTAACCGAGGACAATCCTGCCATGTTAAATCGTTGCCAAATAGCGTTACCTTGTGGCACTCCAATATACTGTAACCTGGCAACACTGGTTGAAACAGTTGCTAGGTAACAGACAGTATAGCTTGAATTTCTAGATTGATGTAGCGGAATGATGTCACGTTCCGGAATGGCAGCGTGTTATTCCTTGCATTGATATGGTTGCAGACTCCGAGGATCTCTTTTTTTTTGCCTCAGACATCACAAATCATCCACTGTGTTATTGCTCTGAGCGAAGGTTTTGATTGAAAGCATTGAATGTTTCAAGGTGGCAGGATTTCCTTGCTCCAGTGAATTTGTGCACCTTCCGACAGTAATAGACAGTTTTGTTTTATTTAGTGCTTTGTTTTTTCCCGGCCAATCAGGAAACTGGGAGGTGGGTCAATACTTACCGCCCGGCTTCCTGATTGGCCGGAAAGCCGACTCGATGCTGATTGGCTAGGAAGCCGGTTTCCCAGCCAAGCACAATCAAGCCGGCTAGGCAACATGCAGTTAGCTTCCCGGGGCAATCAGATTGCCCAAGAAGCCGGCTCCATGCCAGTAGAAGCCCTGGTATCGATACTTGGTACACACGAGTAGCGAAACCAAAGTATCTGTACACGTACTCGATACCGAAAAACCAGTATCGGTGCATCCCTAATATATATATATCTGCAAGGGTTAATATGTTTCGTTTGGCACAACTTATTTAACCCTAACTGATGCAGTGCGTTGCTTCTCATTTCTTAAACAACAATGTCAGGAGACATATCCTATGGTCATGAAAAAGAAGCAACTCCGTATCAGAAGAGTCAAATTATTGGCCTGCATCAAGCAAAGAAAACAACTAAGGAGATTGCTAAAATTACTAAAATTGGGTTAAGAACCGTCTAATACATTATTATAACCTGGAAGGATAGCAGTGAACCATCATCTTCAAGGAAATGTAGTCAAGGAAAAATACCTTCTGTGGGCCCAGGCTGTCATGGACATGCCCCCCTAGAGGTATGTCATCATGCAGCCTAGGCTCACAGTACTTTTGGACTGTGGCGTTTACACGTTATCATGTGAGCACCAGGAAGTCCAGCAAGACGGAGCATACACCACTTCCGCTAAGGAAAAAAAAGAAAGGACCAATGACATCACTTAACTGGCCTAAAGACAGAACTCAAAGAGCATTATATAGGGAGTTTTTTTTCAAGAAATAAAGATCCCTGGGGGCCACCTAAGCCTGGAGATCCTTATTAAATCAATGTGGCCCAGAGCAGACATAATGTGGCGCCTTGAAGAGTTATTCCACTCAACTCAGCCTACTGTTGTTTTATTTCAGTTTGTCCTGCCTGGCCTATAGCATATGCAAACTTTTATAGTGTGATGAAAGTTGGCCTGAAGATTTTTTTAATGTAACTTTGACATTTGCAGTACCACATATCCATTATTGTATTATATTACAGATTTGTTTATTTTTTCCGTTAGTGGCTTTCAATATTTCATTACAGTCACTCAGCCTCTCTGATCAGGAATTGCTCAGATAAAACCTTAGCCCCATAGTATTTTTATCTAGTCAATTAGACCTGACTGGTAGACAAGCATTGAGAGACAGGAACAGAAAGGCACAGCATCTTGCAGCAATACTAAGCAGGAAGCAGACCATGCATACAGTATGTAATAACTACCTCTATGTACATACATCATTAAAAATAATATTATAATAATAGTAATAATAATATATACAAACAAGGATTTGAAAATATCGACACGCATTGGTAAGGTCGATCTGAGGTTTGCGTTGTGGCCTCTAATGCTGATGGAGGGAACAAAGAGTGCAGTTAGGTTGCGTAATAGTGCAGTTATCCTAGAACAAGCACCGTCATTGGTTTATATGTCTGTGGATTGGCGGAATGTGGAATTCTGTTAATCGGTCACTACTCTCAGCTCACTCACTTTTCTTTCTCTGTCTCTCCAGCTCTGTTACTCAATCAGGGTAAGATCTTTTCCTTATCTTTCTTATTTCTTAAAGTCTACCAGGCTGATTAATAAAATCTAGAGGTTAAGATCAATAAAGGTGTTGACTATAGCAACTAATCTGCTGCTTACTTAACTTTTATTTTCTAACTAGAAAAATGACAGCAAGAATCTGATTGTTGCTATGGGCAGTAGCTTTTTGGATATTGTAACATGAAAGAAGAATCATTTTAAAGTATGTATTAAATATGAATGTTCAATTGTCCAAGTTACTGTCAATGTTAAGACCAATCTCTTATTATAAGAAAGGGCAAATTCCTCCCACATCTAATTTTGGGTGGAGTGCTGAAAAGGTGACGTCTGGTTGATCGCTGGCCACTGGTATTCTTGTACTGACCCAGCGGCAAGATCTTCCCAGCTCAGTTCCGATCCATGTTGCAGTTTAACTCCTGCTGAAGTACGGGTATTTTCACAAGCTGCATTCTCCATTAAATAAAATACATTGTAAATACAGCAGAAATAAAAGGAACTTTATAATTTCTCCTGCAGCATATAGACCACCATTGGTGTCCCTAGGAGTGCTGTTAAAGCTCTGGGAAAAAAAATTAATGTGTGTTCTGTCACCTGGAAGTGCCTGATATACAGTTGAAGGGACATTTTAACATCCTCAATGTCAATCAGTCAATCAGGCATGGAGAATCCTGATTGGTTGGCATCTACTGGCCGGTTGTCCCCTAAACGTATTTATGTACATAAACAATATTGAGAGGGGAGGAGGGAATGTGTGGAAACCTGTCAGCTCCTAACACTGGCTTATCTTGAGTAACAACCTGTCCGATCTATCTCCCCTCACCCAGTGCTCTAGGCTAAGGGCTGCCTGGTGAGGGCATATACAGCATATGAGATCAATTTTGGCTGGATCGAGTGACTGCAATCTCATGTCTAAAGTTTATGTATAGCCAAAACTTTTTTGTTCTTATGGGATGGTTAATCCTCCAACAGTTTTTTTTTTTCCCCATAACATCCACAAATACAAATACAACAGCAAGAGAGAGAAAAACACTAGAAAGAGAATTTCCCTCTTGGATAATTGTCACAGGGACAGGTGTCGCCTTTGGAAGATTTACCCTCACTTCTTGTCCTGATAAAAATTCTAAAATTTAGGATTTTCTCTCAACTTCTGTCACAGTGATGATGGTCACCAGGACAAGTAGAGAGGATGAATCTACCTAGCCAGGACACAGACAGCAAGAGAAACTGGACAGGATGCCCTTCAACTCAATGTGTATCGGTGCAAGCACCTCAAGGAAACCAGATGCTGCAACCTCCAATATCCATATCCCTCCATCCCCCCTTTCACAAGAAATTTATAGCATCCTAACTACCCCTTTTCAACCCTTTTGTGAAGCATTGTTTCACCAGCAACAATTATACACAATATGGATTATATAATGCTCAAAAAGGTACTTTTTGGGGGGCTTTACCCATTCCCGGCACATTATAATTCTTAACCCCTTGTGCAAGGTTGTTTGGTTCCTGTTGAAACAAGTTAAACTCGCCTACGTTCGCCATTTCCAGGTGTGGGGACAGTTAACCCACTGTTGCAGCTGGTCTCTTACTGGCCAGTTCCCACAGTTCCCTTGCAATGATATCACTTCTAGTCTGGATCCTGAGAGGACCCTGCCGCTGGAGAGCCAATAGGAAGTGTCCACCTAATCTAGACAGTGACGTGGACACCTCACGGAGGACCTCCTTGAAGTAAACAGAAGGCAAGTGAAGGCCTGGTATTTGAGCGTAACATGACCATGGCTTTAGGTAAGTAAAAGGGGCATTTGGGGTTTTATCCATCAAACACTTAGAGGGTGTAGGTGGGAGGCGTGGGAGGGCATCAACTTTATCCCAGAGATGGGCTTTTACGTTTTAACACAAAAACAATAAAATAACAATTAAAAGCAAACTTGGCAGGGATTCTAATGTTTCCACACTCTGTCCACACACACGAAATAAAGTTCTGGCTATACATACATAAGGATAAGATGTTGTAACATTCCAGCACCAACCAAAAACTGAAATATCAATTTTCTGGTGCACTGACCCCAGAGATCTCATGGTTTGGTAATCCATCGGGGCATAGACAAAGGTAAGATGAAATCTCAATATACGGCTTCCATTTCCGGGGACCCTAAGGAGGCTTGCTAGGGGGAATCCATGGCAGAAGATCATAGGCACTGGTTAGATTCTAATTTAGAAAAACCCTTCTGCTGTGCCTAAATTTTTTGCCAGATCTTCATCTGTCGGGTCAGTGATCTGAGCTCCTTTCATTGATCAAGCACAGGGAGAACCTTTACATGTATGAAACCTTAAAATAGATCAGAATGCAACTGAGCACATAAGTGAAAAAGGTTTATTTTGTTGCAAATGCCTGTTTGTTAGTGTTTACCATTACACTTTCACATTATGATTGTCAGACACAGTGTTCATTGTTCCTGCTTGTACTGCACAATACTCAGATGCACAAAGGCCTCCTTTGTTGGTGAAAATGTGTCACTCAGTTATTAAACAGAGACCTTCTTTTTGGTCTTAAAGCTGGACTCCAGAACAAAAAACAGCTAAATACACACATGTGAATTGCCTGCTAAAGGATTTATAATTCTGTCCAGTCAACTTTGTGATTCTTACACCTCTGTCAGACAGCACAGTCAGGGAGGTGACACCATTTTCTCAGTTATTATTAAGGAATACAGCGGTGTCACCTCACCATTCCAGCCTGCTAATTGGATAAATAAGGGGTGGTAAAAGAATGATAAGTCCTTAACTCTGCTCTCCCAGTCAGTATGTTATTTGCATATGTGCATGCAGCTGAGCCTGATTGGTTTCTAGTGCTGCCTCTCCTCCTCGCAAAAGTAGAGCAGATGACAGGAAGCTGATATCAAGAGAGATTCAGATACTTACAGTATGCTATGTGCATGTAAAATACATGTAATAATTTATAAAGATGCACACTGCAATAAATGGTGTTTTTTAGTACTCACCTGGAGGTCAGCTTTAAGGCTACCCATGGATTTAAAACTCATGCATGTCTCACTGCCCAACTACAGCCCAGTCTGAGGTCTCACAGCATTAATCATCTAGGCCAGTCACCTTATGTCTGTGTAAATATGATGTCAATGTTATGTACAATGAAGGTCTTACATCTCGTAATGTGCTGCAGACGCACTTCTAATGTGTCTACCCTCTGTGAATAGATGATGAAGATAAGAAGCTGACTTCAGAGGAGGAAGAAGCAAAGCGGATTGCTGAGATGGGAAAACCAATTCTGGGTGAACATTCCAAACTAGAAATCATAATTGAGGAGTCCTATGAATTCAAGGTAACACGCAGGGCCATATGAAGGGTGAGGTGAGTGAGACATTTGCCTTGGGCGCAGCCAGGGCGCCATGGCATCAGGTCCCCCCGCTTCTCTCCCTCGCCTGTATGGGCAGATCCGAGGAGAAATGGAGCGTTGCAACCGGCAGGGATGGGGGGTGGATGAGGGAGTTGTCCAGGCCAAGGAGTGAGGAGAGAGCTGTTCGGCCAGGATCTGACAGCCGGCGGCTCTCTCTCTCCTCACCGGTCGGCCATCCTGATTGTGCAGCTCTGTGCGTGGCCAAGCGGCTCAGGATGGAGAGCGGGGGGATCGGTAAATATCTGTGATATTCACCAATCTTCTGTGTGCAGCACAAACACTGGATGGATCAGCTGATCACTCCAATGTTTGTAAACAACTAGGGACACAGAGTACTATGTGTCCCCAGTTAAGAATGAAAAGGAAGTGATTAACATCAATTAATAACTGGATGATAGTAAATATTTTACTATCACCAGTTTGTGAATGAATGGGAAGCCTCTGTACTGAGAGCTCTCCAGTCATTTAGAACAGAGGCTGCAGAAAAAGAGATTGAGGACTCTGTGTCCTCAATGTTTTTTTCTATTTCAAAAGGAAAATGCCAGGGGGGTCTGTTTAGGTATTTTTTCCCCCCATTACATGGTTTTCTGGTATTTTACCAAAGCCCCCCACCCTACAATTTAAAAAACAAAAACAAAACACACACACACACATATTATTAGACATGTGCAAAGACTAAAAATTTGTTTCGGTTGAAATGAATGGAAACTAAAATGTTTTCATTAGTTTCATCAAACGAAATTAATTTTTATGCTATTTTGCATATTCTGCGCGCCGCCATCCCGAAGTCCAGTGCATGATGTTAAATGATGCCATGCGTGCTGTTGGGGAGCACAATTTTCTGTTCTTGCCTCGGACGCAAAGGGAGCTAGCTACGGCTCTGGTAAAACTTACATATAGTGCAAGGTCTGCAAAACTGATGTTCACCAGATATTAGTATAAAAATGGTTTGATTGAAATGTGCCAACCAAAAATAGTCTAAAATAATTCCATGTTGAAAACAGCTCCATTTATGGGCTACTATTCTAAGTAATATTAATACTATCTGGATAGGGAATGCAGAACTGGAGCCCAACAGTAGCTGTTGTGCTCTCTATATGTCATAGATACTTAAAGGGTATCTCCACTAAATTTAATATGGTTCGGACCAACAAATACAATACAAAATATAATCCAGTTGACTATGAAATATTGCATATTGATATTTGTTTTAACCAGCAGATAGAGCTCTTGTCTCCTTTACCCTACAGGCTCTCTAGCCCCCTTTTGTAAACAGCTAAAAGCTAAAGCTAAAATTTACAAAACACACATGAATGAGTTAAATCAGTGATAAAAGTCACTCATTAGTTATTGGACTGTGTCTGAGGTTTCACTTGTATAGACACAAGGCAAGCAGATACTGCTGTGCTGTTCCTTTAACCCAGCCTTGCTGTTCTATTAGCTTTGCTTCTTACTGCATCTTATATTCCTATCCATGTCTTCCCAAATAAATGTTAATAAGATCCTCTTTTTCACTGATGAATGTGTCTTGATCCCTATTAAATACCTCCTCTTCACAATGTTCTTTTACACTTGCTATTGCTTTATTTCTATTGATATTCACCACAAAAGTATTCCTGAAACCATAATATGGACATTTCGTTTATTCTATAATATCCAGATCCTCCTAAATCCAAAACATTTGCAGGGTTATGCACAAAAGTGTGAAGAGTTTGGAGAAGGCAGGAGAAGTGAACAATCTAGGACAACATAGCTGAGCTGGAAAGTGAGCTAAATTAGATAATTTTCCCAAATCAGCTATTTTGGCCTAAACTGTTCACTTCTCCTGGCCTCTCCAAACCTTCACCCTTTTGTGAATAACCCTGTTTGTATACCATGACTTCTTAACTCTAGATATCTATTATTGTAAGTGGTAGCTGTCAGAAGAGCAGCTCATAATCCCAGATACTTGGATGCTGTTGAAATTGGGCCTACTCTGGCAAGCATAAAGGTGCAGATCCCTGCTTGCATGGCAACAAGAGGTGGCTTAGAAGGTTGTGAAGACATTGTCATGGTAGAGGGAAATTATACCTTTTAATGGTGCAGCTTTGATCCAATCAATGGGATTTCACAGCTGACATTGGAGGCTAGGATCTCAGTCTTGCCCAAAGTTGCAAAAACCCAAAATACCCATAGCAAACTTACCTGAGATCCTTCCAGATGGAACCATTAGCAGGATCAAACCAGGTGGCTTGGTTCTCATTGTAAAGTGTGGCAAGACCTCAGAGAGTTTAGAAGCTGTGGGATGAGACTGATGAATGGTTGTATCCAATGCCATCTAATTCTCTTGAGCTTCCCAGTATCTAGAGATAACTAATTCTGTAGTGTCCAGTTCACATTGAGTCTTTCTTGTCCATATCCCACTAACGCCATGAATCCTGTTCCTTGTGACAAATCAGAATGTAGATCCACCATGTAACTTTTTTGTAAACATTTTTCATGAACTTTATGGACAACCTTAACAGTTCTGAACTTCTTACTGGCCTATTACTTAATATGCTTAATATTCATTCAGAAATGTAAGTATTTAACATAGTTCCTTCTCTTCTGTCTTTATTCTGTTCTTCTCCCCAGAATCCAAATCCCCCTTTCTGTCTTGTATAAAGTGCCTCCTTTCTTCCCAGTATCCAGCTTTCTCTCATATCTAGTTCTTCCTTTCTTCCTGGTAATTACTCTTTTTTTGCCTAGTATCCAGATCTTCTTTTCTCTATACCAGGGGTAGGCAACCCCGGCACTCCAGCTGTGGTTAAACTATAACTCCCATAATGCCCTTGCCTCTGGGAGTCATGCCTGTGGCTATCAGAGTCTTTCAATGCCTCATGGAATGCCACAGCTGGAGTGCCAAAGTTGCCTACACTGCTCTATCTTATCTAAACCCTCCTTTCATCCTTGTATCCAGATCCCTTTTTCTCTCCTACTTCCAGATCTACCATTAGTGTCCAGTATCTATTCTATTTGACTGTCAGCATCTAGTTCCAATTGATTACGATGAAATGAATTCCTGGAATTTAAAACAAATTAACATGTTTTTAATGCAGGAAGGCCTTTTAATTGTGACTGGTGTGATCCTGCAGTACTAACCCTGACCATTGGTATTAAAACACTGACACCTCTCATCTGTCACAGCTCTGTGTCTTACAAATTCACAATTATTATTTTAGCAGTCGTCCCTAAAATGCTACGAACAGATTAGCGCAAGGATTTATCTGCTTTTTGCTGTACTAAACCCGTAAAGAGGGAAAGAATGCTGTCTAATCCTTATTAGGGCTTAAGCATATCCCTGATGCTGCGGTAGCAGAAAACATTTCTATACAAGCAGCTCGCGATTGCAATGGAGGTAGCAGCCAGCTGAGAGTGACACGGGGGGAGTCTTCAAATCCCGCTCTAGTATTTTGCTCTCTGGTATCATCAGATTGTACTAGAGTTGTATTTACATGTGACGTTCCATGTAGCTAATCCTACACTGTGCAGCTAATCCTCCCAGACACAGCGATAATGAATGCTGAGGCTGAAAGGTTAGGGGTGATGTGTGTCCCCAAATACGCACATCTCCCTCTGCTTTTATAATGTACAGGATTGTTTTGACAGAATGTATACGTATAGGGGCTACTTCTCTTACAAATGCAAACTGTCATTTTATTAGCTGTCATTTTTATGCAGACACACTTTACTGCTTACTAGGCTCAAATCTTGACTGAGGGGGCTTGACTGAGCATGGAGCTGGCTTCCCGGCCAATCGGGAACCCGGGAGAAGGGGGTCATCACTCGCGGCTCGGCTTCTTGATTGGCTGGGAAGCCAACTCCATCCTGTTTGGCCGGCCCCATGCTGATTGGCAGGGAAGCCAGCTTCTCGTCCAATCAGCATGGAGCCGGCCAAACAGCATGGAGCCGGCTTCCTGGCCAATCAGGAAGCCGGGCTGTGGGTAATGACTTGTGGCCCGGCTTCCTGATTGGTCGGGAAGCCGGCTCCATGTTCCCTCGCGGCGCTGCCGGTCAGAGCAAATATCCCTCTGACTGGAAGTTTCGGTATCGGGATAAATAATGGAGCATTTGGGTGAGTACGAGTACTCACCCAAATACTCGGTATCGGCACTGATGCTGATACTAGTATCAGTATCAGTGCATCCCTATATTGTAAACCCAAAATGGGTGACATTTTATTTGCACAATTTTCAGCAGCCACCTGTCTATATGCATGCACTCCCCAACTTTCTGAAATGGGAAAGAGGGTCACCCTTTAGCACAAAGTGTGTAGGCAAAGGATACACCCTCTGCCATACCATCAATTATGTGGATCATGATGAATTAAAAAACAAAAACTGCTTGGCTTAGCCCACAATTCTTTATTTATCACTCATCATTTATCTATCCCTTATACTGGCTTTTAAAAAATAATAATTTGATAATGAAAAGGATTGTGTGAAAGGTTTAGTGTGCTGTAATAATTTATGTTGTTGAATATGGCATTTATTATAGAGGTCTATACATCTGTCCAAAAAGAAGGGCAATCGAGGAGGGGAGAGGGACAGAGACATTTGGTTCCAAAAGAAGGGCAGTCTCTTCAAATGAGGGACAGTTGGGAGGTATGCATGTCTACACAATGTGTTTTGGCACTGCAGCTTGTAGACTCAATCAGGGGCTTATGTGACAGGATTACCATGCAGGAGCACAGTCATCACCCCAGAGCAGGAGTGGGAAGTGCATGAAATTATATGAGATTATATGAGATTTTAGAGACTGGCCTGAGTTTGGATTTACTCGATAGTAACAGTCCTTTTGGGAATGATTAGGAAAAGAAATAGAAGGACTAAAATGCTTTAAATTGTTAGGGGTAGTGCTGCTCTAGATTCTGTCCTTCTGGCGATTATGTGAGTAAAAGCCTAGGCATTTGGTCATTAAAGGAGAACTATGAGGTGAGTGAAAATCACTAATCCTCATAGTTCGAGCTGACGTGTGACAATGAAACTGTCACACATCGGCTCAATAGATCGGGAAGTGAGCGAGCATATACCGTCGCTCACTCTCTTCTCGTTCATCTCCCTGCAGAGAGCAGTGACTGTCAGTCATGGCTCCCTGCAGGGATTTCCCTGCTCCGATCCTCCAGCATTGACTGGAGGAACGGACAGGGGAGGGGGCGGGTAAAGCTGGCTCTGCCTGTAGATAGGCAGAGCCAGCTGTCACTCGCGCAGCTGGGTGGATCTCGACAGTAATGTCGGGATCCGTCCCGGCTGTGTCGGTCTCAGTATACCGTGAGCTGTAGCTTGCGATATACTGAGCTTTGGAAAACAGAAAAATGGTCACCAGCACTCCAGGTTTTCTACAAAACGAAATCCTTTTATTCATTCATGCAGGTCATATCACCATGCGTGGCAACGTTTCGGAACCTATCCAGTCCCTTCATCAGGCAAACAAAAGTCAAGTGGCCATCACTTATATAGCGCCAACAATTAATGGAGCGCCTTGCACAGTGCACATTCACATCAGGCCCTGCCCTCAAGGAGCTTACAATCTAACGTCCCTATCTCACATGTGAGGGCCAATTTATATAGGAGTCAATTAACCAACATGTCTTTGGAGAGTGGGAGGAAACCCACACATGTTTAAAGGGGCATAAACACTTTAAGTGTATCTAAAGCCAAAACTTTATTCATAAATCAGAACCCCTATCAGTTTTCTTATGTTCTCATCGGGGAGATTTACGCTCTCTATTTGCCACGGTGACCACTGTGACTAAGGAAGGAGGCAAAATCCCAAAATTTTGATTTATAACAAGAAACAGAGAGCAAATCTTCCAATAGAAGTGCTTGTTCTAGTGACAGCTGTCGAACAGGGTATTTCCGTCAATTTGGAGAGATGTCCTTTGAGTCTAGAGGACAGGAAGTGAATGGAAATCTCCCCAATATGATACTGATGTGAAAAAAAACTTGACAGGGGTGTTAACCCTCTATTATTCTATCCCAAATTAATAGGAAGTTTAGCTTTTGGATATAATAAATACTGTATATCTATAGACATCATACTATATACTGAGACGCCGCAGCTGAAACGGATCCCGACAATTATGTCTGGATCCGCCCTGCTGCGTGAGTGACAGCTGGCTCTGCCTATCTGGAGGCAGAGCCAGCTGTACCCGCCCCGTCCCCCATCCGTTCCGCCAGCGCTGGAGGATTGGAGCGGGGGAATCCAGTCCCTCCCCTGTCACGGCTCTCTGCCGTGACAGGATCGAGAAGTGAGCGAAGGCCGGTATGTGTTCGCTCACTTCCCAATCTACTGAGCCGATCTGTGACAGTCTCATTGTCACAGGTCGGCTAGAACTATGAGGATGAGTGAAAATCACTCACCTCATAGTTCTCCTTTAAACCAATATGCTGGGATTTTTGGTGGGTTTTTTTTGCATAAACTTTTTTTTTATCCCCAACAAAGGACAGTTACAGTAAGGGTTGCAAAGTCAGACACAGACGTAGACAGCTTCTTCATAGCTGTCTTGATTATATAATTTATAGGCCTCCAATGACCACTTGGACATTATGATGTCATACAGATATGGAATTATTGTCTCCACGGATTTTCATTTCTTTCGGCAAAGTTTATTTTAACCTTTTTGTTGCTGGGCCAATTTTTCCATGTTTTGCATTCACAATAATGTATGTCTTGAACCTGTAGAATTAGAATTAGAAATGCTGTGTCCCGCGGTACATGAGCATATGTCGTTCACAACTATATATTGATTTTTAAAATGCACTAAAATCAAGTATAAAAGATGAAGCAAGCAAAAGCAAGCGACAACTACATGTAGGCTGAAAATTGTGTGCATTTAACAAACATAAAGATTGTAAATCGGAGAGACATTAGAAAACTTTAGAACTTTAGAACATTAAAAAGATCTCTGAAATTCTTCTACCTCTGCCGTGTGGGAGTACATAATATGTAATGCAATAGGCATTTATGTTTACTTGCGAGCCCTAACAGCCTGTGTGTGGACGTTGTGTGTATGTGGGGGATTTTCTTTAATTCTTTATAATTCTTTTATTTTTGATAATAAGTTTTACTGTTTTTATTAGTGAACTTGGGGGCTGACATAGTCCTTATGTTTTTTTTTATGGGTACATCAGGGGACCTAAATAAACTCATGATACCTCATCTGTTTCTGAACAGAGTCCTTCACTTGTAGCCCCCTTGGCATTTGCTGCCCGTACACTAAGTCCCTGTTCACACTATGCATTCACGCACGGTTCTTGCCTTCTTTGCTGTGCGTTGGCCATTGATTTCAGGAGAAATAGATGCTGGTGCTGAAGTCTTGGCACAGGAATCCCTTGCTTTGTTAAAGGAACTTTCACAATGTGCAAGCAAGCTGCTTTTTCCAACCTGCTACTTACTGAGCAACTGCATATGCTAGGTTACATGGGTGCAGCATATGTAGTCCATCACCATATACTACTACCTTTCTCTGTATTAATAAGGTATATGCATAAGAAAGCTTTGTGCGTGATTGCTATCACCCAGTGAAAAAAAGAAGCTCAGCTTTTTTGTTTAAAATTTGTTATATACAGAATTTGATTCTAAAAAAGTGTTGAAATGAACAGATTCATGTCTTTTCTTCAATTATACAGGTTACTTTGTTTATACAGTGCCCTACTTATTGACCTGCCTTCTCCCCACAGAGCACAGTGGACAAGCTCATAAAGAAAACAAACCTGGCCCTGGTGATTGGTACCCATTCTTGGAGAGAACAGTTTATGGAAGCCATCACTGTCAGCGCAGGTGAAACAATGCTCTCCGTAGCTAATGGTGTCAACCCAAGGTGGTGCACTATGCCTGCTACCCAATATTATACAATATGATATGCCTGCATAGAAGAATCAAAGCTATTTGCTGCCCTCTTGTGTCTGTGATAGAAAATATGCAATGAGACAGCTGTGTTTTCAGTTTTTGGCACATCTCATTTATTAAGAGGCCCCAGCAGAGTATGATTTGTGGTATTCTCATGTGGCCTCTCGAGAAGCAATTACTGACAGCTTCATTGAAACTGATCTGCCTGTGTATAACCAGATGTGCTCACACGTATTTTGTCTACTTGGGATAATACATATATAGAGATACTGAAAATGGTAACGTATGGTTACATGATTAATACACTGTGCCCTGGATCCTAATAGCTGCCATATATGTATTTTTAATGCCATCAAGCAGTTACCACTATATGTTAGTATATATGTAATGGTTCTCCTAATTTGCCTTTTATTATTTGATTGTATCTGTATTGTCAACTCAGGTAATAGAGCTTTATTGAAAGCTGTGGGAGTGCCTTTGTGCCAAACTTTTTCAGCAGACGTTATTTTATAAGAACACGAATCTTTGAAAGTGCAGTAACCCATAGCATTGTGTCATGTTTAGGCCACTGTAGTGAGATAAAAGAAAGATGATTTACTCAAACTTAGTTCGGAATGTGTCGGG